TTTATGCAAAGGTGACCTGACTCGCAAAGCCTGACTGCCCATATTTGTCGGCAGAGAACGGCCCTAACTAGCAAGAAATCACTGATGGACTGAAATACTTTGTCTTGAGTCCAAGCTTCTGGTAGCTGCCAAGCGACGACTGCATTTCCCCAGGGCAGTGCAAGTGTGCTGTGAAATCTTTCAGCAAGTGTAACATGAAATCCCCCAGCAGGGATGTAGTGGCCAGGTCATTCCTAACCCCAGGGCTGGAGCAGTCTATCCCTGTACATCATGCTGGGCCATGATCCTCTACTGCACAGGGTTCCGTWCCTCAGACCCACTTTCATTTCAACATCTTCTAGGAAACAGGTCAACAGCATACATTAACACCCCCACACCCACACCATAAGCAAAATGAAAGGTGACCAACTGGGAAAACATTTGTAACTCACATTATAGAAATCCCTAATATATCAAGGGCTTATCAAACTTACCAACTCTATTGGAAAAGACATCTTAGAAATAATTAGTCTTCAAAAAAATTCTTCCAAACTCTAAATATCTCAACAAATGTTCAACCTTACTCATAAAGAGAAATGCTAAGTCAAACCACGTAGAAATCTTCATCTAATATATGGGTAAAAATCTAAACTTTTGATAGAATACTCTATTAGCAAGACTGTGAAGAAGAAGGACTGTCACGTATCATGGGATGAATGCCAAAGGGTACACACTTTATGGAGAGAATTTTGGCATCTAGGAAAATTACTGATATATTTACCTTTTAATCTGTTTCTAGAAATTATCTCAAAGAATTGCTGGCAAATATGAAAAGCTATTCATTTCAAGGATATTAATTGCAATGCCATTTGTAATTACAAAAGACAAGAACCTTAATGTCCATTGATAAAGGACTGGCTGAATAGACTGCGGTGCACTACAGCTACAAAAGAGGATGAGAAAGATCTTAGATATTGCAAGGTAGTAATCTCCAAAATACTGTTAATTAAACAAAAGTAAGGTGGACAACCATGTGTAAAGTAGCATATACTAGTGCGTGTATATTTGTGCATTTGCTTACAAATGAAAGTATAAGCTAAAAGCTGCCCAAAATGGTTGGAAAGTTGGGATAGACGGGACAGGGATAGTGAACAGATTAATTTTATCCTGTGTTTTTTTTTAAATTTTAGAATCCTATAGATTTTAAATCTAATTTTAAAACAAGCAGAATTAAACAGATGATCATTATTGTGCATTGACTTGTAGCTGAACCACATGGAGGAATAATTTTAAGTGATTTTAAAACAGAGCAATTTTCAACTGTACATCCCGAGGGGGWTATATTTAAAGGTTAAAAATAACCACAATGAAATCTCAAGCAGTTTTCAGTGATTATATTTTTAGTAATAGTATATGTATTGTAATTTTGAGAACATATATTTTAAGCAGGGAAGAAATTATATTAATATAGTAGGATGAATAAAAGAAGAAAATTCAAATGCAAATTAAAATTCAAGACAATTAATATAAAATTTCTATATGCCTAAATTTGAACTGAACATACTAATAGGAATTTGTGATATGATTTTTCCTTAACAAAAAGAGTCTGGAAACCATGACCAGCTCAGGAGCAATGAAAACCCTTCCTGCCCAGATTGTGGTCTCTAAACAGACTTCCTTTTTGAAAGGAGCAAGGCCTGTTGGAGGAATGGCTGGTTGTGAGTCAGGGTGCAGGAAACACACAAGATAAGGTTAGAATATTTAGTCCCACCAAATGCAAGACATTTAAAAAGACCACTGGGATCATGGCACAGATTATTGGAGAAACTTGAAGAGGTTTCTGTTTATCCAAGCAGGGATGGGGTTATAGAAAGAGACAGATATTATTACCCTATCTGCATGTATGATTACACTACTGGAGTGATTCTGAACCATGTATAGTCAGAGAAATGAGAAGTTGTGCACCATTTATGTACAATATGTCAAAATGCATTGTACTGTAAAATAAGTAAATAAATTTGTAAAAAAATGGAACATTTTGATCATTAATAACAATAACAATAGTAGATTGAAACACATCAACTATGTTAAAATCCATGTATTCCATGTACCTCAGGTTGAGCATTAATCTCCAGGCTATATGAAGAACTCAAAAACTTAACACCAACAAAAACAAATAACTCAATCAATAAATGGGCTAAGGAACTGAACAGACATTTCTCAGAATAAGAAATACAATGAGTCTACAAGTAAATATTAAAAAGTTCAACATCTCTAGCAATCATAGAAATGCAAATTAAAACTACGTTGAGATTCCATTTCATTCCATTCATATGGCAATTATCAAGAACACAAGCAACAATATATGTTAGAGAGGATGCAGGGTCGGGGGGAGGTACATACATACATTGCTGGTAGGACTGCAAATTGGTGCAATCATTCTGGAAAGCAGTATGGACATTCCTCGGAAAACTTGAAATGGAGCCACCATTTGATCTAGTTATCCAACTCCTAGGTTTATACCCAATGGACTCAAAATGAGCACACTACAGTGACACAGCCACATCAAAGTTTATACAGCTCAATTCACAATAGCTAAAATATGAAACCAACTTAAGTGTCCTTCAATAGATGAATGGATAAAGAAATTTTGGTATATATACATAATGAAATAATACTCAGTCATAAAGAAGAATGAAATTATGGCATTTGTGGGTAAATGGATGGAACTGGGGAATATTATGCTAAGCAAAATAAGCCAATCCTAAAGAACCAAAGGCCAAATGTTTTCTCTGATATGTGGGGGTAGCTAGGGAAGAATAGAGGTACTTTGGATTAGACAGAGGGGAGTGAAGGGAGGGAAGAGGATATGGGGGTAGAAAGGACACAGAATGAATGGAACATCATTATCCTATATGCGTATGTGATTACATGATCTGTGTAAATATAATTTACAACAAGAAGAATGAAAGTTATACTCCAATTATGTATGATGTGTCAAAATGCATTCTACTGTCATGTATAACTAACTAGAACAAATTAAAAAAAAAGAGAAAAGAAATCCATGTGTTAGTAAAGATATATTTTAAAGAACCAATCTCCTGGGTAAACATGTAGAGGACACAAGGGAAACAGCTCTTTATTGTGAAAATAAAGGAAATCAATTGTCCTGACTTTCTGTTTATTTATTTATTTATTTTTGGTTCTTACTTATAATATACCATGGAGTACTCAAATAGCTGAGCCGGAAAACGACTTATTTAAGGAAAGTCCCTGCTAATAAATAGAATTTGCATAATAGGATAGAATTTGCATACCACTAGTTTGTGATCCCTAATAAATACTGGATTAAACAGCCACCATCAATAGGTACTGAGGCCATTAGGCAGAAAAGGGAACTCTAAAAGGAGGAACTTCTCAAAATTTAGTGTGCCTGTGAATTACTTGGGGAAACTATTAAATTCTGATTTACTAGGTCTGGGGTTGAGCCTGAGATTCTGCATTTGTAACAAATTACCAACTCAGCTGTGGAGGACCATTCTAAGGAAGAGAAAAGCAGCCCTGGACATTAGCAAGCCAGACCTTGTGTTCCTCTTGGTCAGAAACAATTCCTCAGAACAACATCAGACGGGGTGACTCTGTGACCATGACGGACCAAATCAAAACAAGCCTACTCCATAACCATGTCTAAACACATATTGAGAACTTTGTCCAAACCACAGAACTGACCAAACAGCGCCCTCTCTGAAGGGACTTCTTTGCCAATCACTGCTGTAGGCTTAGTCTACCCTTTCCTGTTCTAGGTAGATTAATTGCCCTTAATGTCACTTCCTGACATTACCTAAACCTGATTCCTTACATCTTCCCTAAAATCACAAATGTAAACCCAGGTCTGCTCATAAGTCCTTTCTAAGTCCCTCTGAATCATGCCATGGTCCCACGGAGCAAGTGCCCACTCTCTCGGCAGCAGGCACTGAACACTGTGTTTGTTCCCTCCAAGTGTGTTCTGTGGTCTTAGCTGGAGCAGAAATCCAACAGTGTGATGATCAGGCTGTGGCCTCCTGATGTGATGCAATAGAAGGCTCACAGTGTCACCTTTAAAGTAAACTTGACAAAAAACAGAGCTGGACCTGCATCTGATTAAGCCTCAGCTCTAAACCCCAGTTTATAAGAAATATGAGGCACCTAGGAATATCTGAAAGAACTATTTTCAGTTCAACCACAAGGCAAATTATTTTTTATAAAACCAATATGTGACATTAAAAAATGGAGAGTAATTTAAAGACCCCAGAAAATTCAACAGTGAGAGCAATCAGTCGTAGGGCGTGTTCTTTGTTTGGATCCTGATTTGTACAAACTGTACATAAACTATCAATGATAATAAGACAACTGGGGATACCTGAACAGCTAATAGATCTCTGATACTCACAAATCATGAATGTGAATATTTTTAGGTTTTATAATGGCAGCATCCATTTTTTCAAAATATTTACACATCGGATATGATGTCTAGGATTTGCTTTAACACAGACAACTGTCATGATGAGAGGGAGTGGGTGGAGGGAAGGATCAGCCATATTTGATAATTGCTGAAGGGTATATGGTGATCATTTTTACCATGCTCCCTAATTATGATATGCCTGAAAAGTTCCACAGTAAACAATTCATAAAAAATATTTTTAAAACATTTAAGTTAAGAGATTATTGAAAGAAGAAATATCAAGGAAGATTAAGGACTTTAGCTCAAAATGGCTGAAAGTTCTATAGAAATAAATTAGAATGTCTATAAAAACTTACCCATGACTCAAATTATGTTCTGACTAGTTTCTTGAGAGCTAGCTGAACATTCACTAATTTCTTCTGTTGTTTTTTTTAAAAAAAATCACTAACAGATATATCAATTGCAAGTGATGATAAATAAGGAATTATTATTAGGAAGACTTAGGTAATGGCCTTTGGAGAAGCATTCATTTAAACGTTTGCCTCTTAAAAAGAAGGAAATGTATTATTTGAGCAGTTACCTGGATCTGTAGCAGATAACATTGAACCAAAAAATAAACAGTCGGTGAAATGAAAGTCTCCATTTTTCAACTGGCCGGCATATATCATTGCCTTGACAAAACCATACACAATTAACCTGTAAAGGAGAAAAATAAGATCTTTAAATATTGAGTGGAGTTCTGTGTAAACCAGTTATCACTGCAAACATTCTTCCTGAACAAGCATTCTGCACAACCACCCCATCCTGCCCGTTCATGGCCACTGGCTCTCAGTTCACTACAATCTCTGGACCAAATATCACCATTCATTCACCCAGCAAAAGGTAACAGGGCATTTTATGGTTTATTTCAATAGAAACAAGATAAATCTCAAGGATTTAAAAAATAATCTGTCAAATGTGGCACTGCAAATCATGCCTACAAATACAGTGGCTGTCTTGACATCTGTAAATGGATTGCTTTTCAGTTTTCCTTGTTTGGTCTCTTGGGGGTGTCTGTCTGCAGAGGGTTCGAATTTCAAATCTGTCATCTCAGGAGAAAGATATTGGCCACTGGCAGGGCACAGCCACCCAGCCACTTTACAATAGACAAATCTCCATCACTCTGGGTGTCAGGGCACTTCCACCCTCATAGAGAAGCCCTGTTAGGTCAGAGCAGGTGCAATGTCATCGAGCAATGCAGATGCTGACATGGTCACTCATTTGGTTTTACAAGAAATGCTGCTCTGGTTTTGAATGTTCTAACCTCAGTTTCCTATGTATGAAATGCAAATCCTCTGTTTGCATCATCCTCTGGCAACCTGTAGTCTTTATATCATTTATTTATTTGGCTGATTGATTTTGCTAAAACCTAGTAGAGAAAAGACAGAGATTGGTGAACTGAACTGCAGTATAATCTAAGGTCTGTAAGAGCTTAGAAACTACAGACCATCAAACCAACAGAGTGATGTTTAAATACATTCACTTAAAAGTTAATTTAAAAAAAATGGTTCTGAGGTTGGAGGTTTTGGTTAAAGATCAGATATGAGAAATTTTACTTTCAACAATAATACAGATATTTCAAATTGTAAGAGAAATATATTCATCTATTTCAGACACAATTACATCTAAATACAGGCAGTAGCACACACTGACTATAGGATATTATGTTCTTACTAAAACTTTCGAATCTTTAATATCTTTAGTCATACGATAATGTGCACAGAGCTTTTAAACAATTAATGAAATAATAAACACATGGTGTTGGGCACATAGTAAGTTCTCAATGATGTCATTATTATTACTAGCAATGATCAAAATAGCACTTAGCATTTATTTACAGTTTCTACTTTGCATTGTCTTAATTTATTCAATTCACACTTTGATCCCATAAGGCAGGCGGGTATTACTATTTTCAGTGAACACAGTGATTAAGTGACTCATGTGAGTGATACAGTAAACTGTGAATCCCAGATTTGAATTGAGGTCTGGCGCCCAGCCTGGTCAGGTTTAACCTCCACATCGTATTGTCTAGAAGAGTGGGTCTCTATTTAGCATGATACCTGATGTCCTATACTATAGTCCAACCACCCCCTAAGGTGTTGTCCTGGGCAGGAATGAAGTCTGCCAAAGAATCAGAAATAATACTACCCTTTGAGGGCGCTAGTGAGCCCATCTATGGTGGGCTAGAGATGGAGACCCCACACTTCGGAGTGTGGTGTCCAGCACAGGACACGGAATCTCAATCAGGCTGCAGGTGGTAAGCATCTGTGAGCAAATGTGCCAGCAGGACAAGACTGTGGCGTGAAGATGCAAGTTCAAGGGGCCTCGTTCTTGGCAGGTCGTCTGTGCTTGACCCAGCAGGCCATGTGAGGGGTGCCAAGTGTGCCATCTCTTGACAGGCCCAGGGGAGTTTCGTCCAGCTGATTTATTTGTTCAATAGATATTTATTGTTGAATCCCTAGTAAGTGGCAGGCCCTCTTCTAAGTGCTTAAGATATATTAGTTAACAGAATAAAGATGCATGGGAACACGCAGTTAACAGGATGGAAAATAATAAAAATCAGAGAAGTTCAAATTCCATTTGCTCTCCAAGTCACTCCCTGGATTGAAATCTGCCAGTCTGAATGACACTCAGACATTCCAGACAGTCATGACATTGCCACAGAAGGGCTCCTCGTTTCACACTTCAGCTTCTTGTGGGGTCAGCCCAACTTCACCATGATCCGTTCTCATTTGAACTCATTTCAAATATGAAGCAGTAGAGCTGTGGCTCAGCAGCAGAGCACTCACCTAGCATGTGTGAGATGCACCACATAAAAGTAAATAAATAAAATAAAAGTGTTGTGTCCAACTACAACTAAAAATTATAAAAAAAATATATGGAGCATTAACAGGCTCTGGGATCAATGTCAACTTTATGATCTGTGACTATATTTCTGAAATTCTGTATCTRTTAGTTAATTTTGCAGGTTAAAAATCCAAGGCTCAAATTAAAATGATTGCTCCATATTGTGTAGAAGCCATTAAATTGGAGAATATAAAAATATATGTATTTATGGTACGTAGGCTTAGCAACAAGGAAGCCAGAAACCTCATACACTATTGCTGTAAACTAAAATTTTAGGGCTTCTATATCTTAAAATGCTAATATTYTAAATATTCAATAATTTATTGGTTTCCTGTGGATTCATATTAATAAATTAATCAAATAGATACCAAAAGGTGTATAATCGGATTATTAAYAGATCACAAATACTTATTGTAGTAAACAATTCAAGACAAATTGCAGAATATCCACATGATGGGACTAAATATGCAACTATTAAAACTATTTGTAAGAATATTATTGGTCATGGCAAAGTCAATTATTTTTAAATTAATAAAAAATAATTCAACTTTATACATTTGACTATACTTAGGTATTCATTTATGAAACAAAAAAACCTAGAAACACGTAATCCATTATTAATGATGATTGCAGTTACATAAGTGGGATTAAATGTGACCCTCTTCTTGTTAGTTTCATTGCATTTCCCCAGTTCTCTTAAAATAATAGCCATAATAAAAATAATGTACATTATAAGCATCATTATGAACACAGTAGACATTTTATCCTGATGATATAATATACAACAGACATCATTTTATCTTCATAATCCTCTGAGTTACATGTTGTAATTATTCCTTTTCACAATCGAGAAAATTTTAGGAATCAGAGAGTTTAAGTAACCTGCCCATAGTCACAGAATCAGCTTATGGCAGATCTCGACTTGAATATAGTCAGATGGACACAATAGTCTATACATGTTTTAAATATTATAATATTTACACAGATTATTTGGACACATTAATGGGTTTTGCAGTGACACTTTCATACATGCATATACCATGCTTAGATCATGTCCACCTTCCTTTCTACCCTTTCTGTCCTTCCCTCTCTTCTTTCTTCTCTTCAGAGCCTTTCCACTTCCCAAATAGTTTCTCTTCTACTTTCAGGTCTTTTATTTATTTATTTATTTATTTATTTATTTATTTATTTATTTATTTATTTATTTTTTACTTTTTATATACTTGAGAAGATATACAATACTCATCTTTCCATGTCTGGCTTATTTTTTCTTAAAATGATGTCCATTTTCCTGCAGATGAAAATTTCATTCTTCTTTATGACTGAATAATATACCCCACTGTACATATATGTCATATTTCCTGTATCCATTCATCTACTGATAGACTTCTAGATTGATTCCATATCTAGGATACTGTGAATAGTGGCACAATAAACATGGACATGCAGATTTCCCTTTTGTATGCTAACTTCATTTCTTTGAATAAATATCCAGGAGTGGTATAGCTGCATCATAGGGTATTTCTTTTTTATTTTATTTTTTTTATTAGTTGTTCAAAACATTACAAAGCTCTTGACATATCATATTTCATACATTTGATTCAAACGGATTAATTTTAGTTTTTTGAGAAACCTCCATGCTGTTTTCCATAGTGGCTATATTAATTTACACCCCCACAATAACATAGAAGTATTCCTTTTTTCCATATTGTAGCCAGAATTTGTTATTTTTCATTTTTTTGTTGGTTTTATTTATTTGTTTTTTCACATTAGCCATTCTGACTGGAGTGAAGTGGAATCTCAGTGTAGTTTTGATTTGGCATTTTCCTGATGGCTAAAGATATTAAGCATTTTTTTTCATATGTTTATTGGCCATTTGTATTTTTTTTTTTGAGGACTGTCTGTGTAGATCATTTGCCCTTTTTTTGATTGTATTACTTGTTCTTTTTGTTGTTGTTGTTAAGCTTTTTGTGTTATTTACATATGAATACTAATCATCTCTAAGATGAAAAAAAAATGTAAAGATTTCCTCCTATTCTGTAGTTTGGCCCTTTCCTTTATCGTTTTCTTTGCTGTGCAGAAGCTGTTTAATTTTATGTAATCCCATTTGTCAATTCTTGCTTCTGTTTCCTGGGCTCTTGAAGGCCTATTCAGGAAATCACTGCCTGTTCCAATCTCTTGAAGTGTTTCCCTGATGTTTTCTTCTACTACTTTCAAAGTTTTATGCTTGACATTAAGGTCTTTGATACATTTTGAGCTGATTTTGGTGCAGGGTGAGAGATGGGGGTCTAGTTTCAATCTTCTACATGTGGATATCCAGTTTTTCCAGCACCATGCGTTGACAAGGCTGTCTTTTTTCCAAAGTGTTTTTGGCGACTTTGTTAAGAATCACTTGGCTGGAGATGAGTGGGTTTATTTCTGGATCCTCTATTCTATCCCATTGGTCTAAATGCTTTTTTTAAATGCCAATATCAGAGTTTTTTTTTTTTTTAACTAGCTCTATAGTATATTTTGAAATCAGGTATTGTGATGCCTGCAGCATTGTTCTTTTTGCTCAAGATTGCTTTGGTTACTTGAGGTCTTTTATGTTTCCATAGGAAGTTTTGGATTGCTTTTTCTGGTTCTGCAAAGAATGTCACTGGTATTTTAATGGGGATTGCCATGAGCCTGTAAATGACTTTCAATAGTATAGACATTTTAACAATAGCCATTCTCCTAATCCATGAACACAGGAGCTCATTCCATCTTCTAGTATCTTCCTTTTATTTCTTCAGTGTTTTGTGGTTTTCATTGTAGGGGTCTTTCACCTT